TGGTTCTCGATTAGAACAGCCATAGAGACATGCCACGGGCATCCCAGGCAGGCAGCCGGAGGAGTTTTGCCCTTCTGAACCAAAACACCGAACGCCCAGCCATGCTAACACATGATATGAATACAAGCGGATTGCAGCAAGATCTTCTTTCTCCCTGGTAAGCCATTAACCTTTCAGATGACAGCCCTGCAAACTAAATGACTGAACGATTCCCAGGGTCAGCGCATATCTACATTTTCAAAACCTGACATCAACAAGTAAAAGTTGTGACTGAATCCTGGTCTCTCCGAGAGGAAGATTAAACGCCTGTGACACATCATCTACAATCAGAGTGCTCCATTTCCCAAAGTATCCATCACAGATTGATAACATCCACGCAAAAAGTTAAGTGCAATTATGTCTGTCACTGTAAAACACACTTCAGCAGCACTGACTGACATCTTGCTTGCAGCTGACAAATTGTGAGAGGGCTGTTTGAATGACGGCGGTAGAGACTCCTGCAGCACCTCGGGAAGGGATGCGAAACGCGCTCCCGAACCACAGGAGCCACAGAGGCTCACAGAGCACTGCGGCGGTGATGGGAGCCATCGCATAGGCAGCCGCACAGCAAAATGGTTCAAGGCTGGCTCTGCGTGCATTCACAGAAGTCAGGGACTTGCTCCCAAAAGGCTGGAACTGGACTTGCAAAGAGGAGAACATCACACACAAATCCTGCTCTAGCCTACTGCAACAGAGCTTGAGACATGGAGGGGCTGAGCCCCCAGACACTGCTCAAACGCTCGGAACGCGTACTTTCCTCCAAGTCCCCAGGCCACGCACTGGCGATCGCCTACGCGCAGGCTGGGTGAAGGAAGAGCGCAAAGGGCCAAGTGAGTTACCTGTTACGAGCACCTCTTTTGGGGGAGGACTACCTTCTTGTTCCCCAAAGCGATGTCACCATGCAGCACCGGAGAGCGCAGGCCTTGAACACAGAGCAGAGATACTAAGGAAAGTTACATTAAACCTCCACTAGTGACTCAAGTCAACAAAAACAGTTCTTTAGTAGCAGCCTTCTAGAATGGGAAACTGCAAGTGCATTTCTCCAGGCTGCCATTAGTGCCAAGAAGCTGTCGCAGAATTTGGAGAGAAAAGACAGTAAAGCAGCTTGATGCCTTGCACAACGGCATGGTTGTGCTCCACAGCACAGCATGCCGTCCTCACTGGGATGGTGAGGGCTGCCGTTAGAGACCATTAAGCCAGATGCCTGCAGTAGGAAACACCAAGGAGAAGAAATGGCTGGAAAACAACATATGCGGTCCAGCACGAATATCAAACAAAGCCTCCCCTTGTGCAGTTCTGACTGCGAGCCGTAACCCCGTGACACAAGCAGCGGAAGCAGCATTGCTGACGTGCAGCAAGCTGTGGAGGTCAAACCTCTGACACATGACAGAACTCTGATGTGCCGCCATCCACTGCCATCAGTAACTTAGATCGTGGATCAGAGGAGGAAACATGGCTGGTGCAGAAATAAACATCTCCCACAGCAAAAAGTCCTTCCATTTAGGAAGGTTTTGCTGTTCAGAAGCTCACTGGTGTGTTTTACTGGTTTAGTTTACATCCAGTGTTAGCAATTGTTCTGAAGCATCCAAGCATACCCTCTCCATTTAAAATTATTTTATAATGCTAGACAGCAACTGAAGAGAATAGCTTAAATATCTGACCAGTCTAACGGCAGGATCTCCACAGTGCGCTCTATTCGGCACCGCTCACCAATTTTCTCTGAACACTCACGGCAGCATCAGAATAACTCGCTGCTGTTCCTGTCAGGATATATCCACATGGAATAAAACAGCAAACTGGCTACCAGTGCAATCTCATCTCTCTATGGTGATGTAAAAATAAGAGGTTACTCGTGACTACAATCTTCCACAAACATTAAGTGTTGAGTAACTTACCACTCTGCTGATGAAGTATTAGAAAAGGCTTTCAAGTAGTATGTGTTCCTTGTAATAATGAAATATTTGCAGGATACACCTTTATATACATTGCTATTTCTTAAAAAAATATATTGGATAATAAATAATAAGAGTAGAAAAAAACAGACATGAAAGATGCTTTGAATGATCAGGCTGGTGGTGTAAAAGTTACCTGTAAATCATGCACAGGGCATGAGAGTGGAGCTGGCTACAGACAGGTGGTTTTTACTAGGAGGCATGAATGTAACATTCAATTATTCCACTGCATACTGGCTGTTTTAACTCAGCCAAATTAGAATACATTTTATATTGACTATTTTGACATTTGCTTTATTTGGCAAGTAAAACAAAACTGATCCAATTTCCTTGCAGCCATTGTAAACCATAAACTGTACAACAAGAGGTTATAAAATATATAAGCCTTGTAAACACTTCTTTTTCAGACTGTCGCTGATGCTCTGAGCTCTAATTTTGGCCCCGTTCCCAATAGCTCTGACGCTGCTCTCTGCAGCCTTCCCTGCTCGGCCATAAAGTGACCCTTCCACACTTAGTGATTAAGGACCGCCATTGACATTCTCTTGCTATGATAATTTTTTCTTTTTATTGTGGAAATCTGCCCAGGCAGGAATTTCTTGCAGACAGAAAATTAAGATCTGTGCTCTAAAAATCAAGACATCTTTTTCTCTGATCTCGCATGGCCTATGCTAGCATGTACCTTATGTCCAGCAGAGCTTCAAAACAAAGCATCAGCTCCCAGTAGGACAGGCTGAAATCTCCAGAAGACTGCTGGCTTTTCATCGCTTTTGCCTCCATCTCTGTTTGAGAAGACAGCATCTCTGCCTGCTCACACCTGACGGTACAGGACAGCAAGCAGCGTGCCATGGCATGGCGAGCGACGGAGCAAAACCCTCAGGGAAAGAAACGCCCAAATGCTTTGGAGAGTTCAAAGAGCCACCGCAAAACAGTAGATGTAAGTCTGAGTCAGGGGTGAAGGCTCAAATGTACACACCTGCCTTAAAAAGATACCCGATAGCTTTTCCAGGAACAGTTTACAGCAGTTTAAAAGCGCCACTCTCTGAAGTGACCTGTAAATCAAGACTCCGAAGGACACGAGTCTTTTCCATTCGTACGATACAATGACCTTTGCATACAAACCGATACCCCTGGAATTCCCCTCCACTGACTCCTTCGGAATTCTAGCTCTCAACAGTTATTGTAATACTGTAAACATATCTGCAGTATACCAAATGCCTAGTGCAAAAGTATGTGTTTGCTTAATTAAGCAAAAGCCCAAAGAGACCCACAGACAATGTGCTGTCCCCTGGAAATAGCCCGGCCCGGAGTTCAGTTGATGAGCCTCATCAGTAGGAGCCCATCTCACACTGGATGCTGTGCTTTCATAGCAAATGCCAGGAGTGTAAAGCACACAGTTTAACCTCTGTCTGGGTTGGTTTGTTGCTTAACAACACTCTGTTTTGTCCAGAGAAATCCAGCAAGTAAGCTGTCGATACAGGACTACCCTTATATGCAAGTATACACACAAGTGCATACATTTATACACACACACAAATATTGTCTGTAACACAGGGAAAACCACCTGGACAGACACCATGCCAGCATCAGCCCAGAAGTGCTGCTCCTGTCAGTGGCTCTGCATGCTCAATGTCAGCTGCAAGACTGGAGCACAGTAGTCGGGTCCAAGAAAAGAAAAAACACAGCCAGTACTTCAAACCATGAGTGGACTGATTCTTCTGGAGAATGAGCAAAACTTGTCTCCCTATACATTAAAATCTGTATGAACGCTTCTCCCTCCCTTTGGTCAAGGAGAGAAATCGGCTTGGCTACAGTTCTGGCCCACCCTCCAAGGGCGACCCATGCATACTTGTTGGAAACTATAACATCCCGCACAGTTTAAAGCGAAGAAAAGGTGTAGTTTGCCGTTTCCCTTCCTCTGCAGGCTTTTCCTTTCTTCCGACTTCTTCACCTGTATGTCTTTATACAACGACAGCCAAAGGAACTTCCAGGAGGCAAACACTTGGAAGAACGACACGTTCCCTCATTATCAGATCACCCCATGTAATCATTCATACTGATGCGGTACCCTGGTCTTGGTTCCACCAGGCAAGGTTAGTAACACTACACCATGCAGCGTCAAGCAGAAGAGGCTGAAAAGCAGAAAACTTACCTCGGCAGGTTAGGAGCTGGTGTTGAAGACGGTACTTGGGAAGGAGGAGTCTCAGGCTGTGAAGACTCATGGTTGCGTGGAACTCTACCCATCCGGTACCAAATGCCCATGTTGTTCAACTCCCTGGGTAATCAACACAGAAAACGTTAATGCTACAAGCAAATGCTGCACACGTGCACAAGCATCAAGCACTGATGTGTTTCACAAACACCTTGGTTAGTGATAACCAGTCCAACTGGAAAAAAATTGGGGGGGGTGGGAGGTTAGTTAATTCCTACATGAAACTCAGTAACACTGGTACTTATGCAGACTTTTCTAATGACAAGCTTCAGCTCTTACAAACTACTGCTTAGTAATTATAGGAAGACAGGGTGCTCAGCCTTGGTACAACTGAATTTATGGCAACAGCTTCTGGAGTGAGGGGTACTTACCCTATGAACGTGTACTGAGGAGGGGCTTGTTTAGATCTACCCAGGATTCGGATATCACAGATCGCTGCCTCTGTAGAATCTCGAGGGATGAATTTAATGCACAGCCTCTTCTTTCTGAAAGCTATTTCTTCTGCAAAAACAACACAAGACACAGGGTGGTTTTTATGCAAGATTAGGGTATAAATGTTATTTATTGTCTCTCCAGATATTAGGCAGATAATTATGGCAGGAGCTGGAGCCAAAGAACAGATATATGTCAGCAAACCAGACAGTGCAGTGCCATTCAGTGACTGGAGAAATTTTCTATCAGGAGCTCTCTGTACACTGTGTGAGATTTGTTATTAGGCACTGCAATAAACCAATACTCCCTACTACCCTCTGCAGAGAAGGCAAGACATCATGTATGCCACAGAGTACTGCACCACAGAACAGAAACGGCAGGTGATTTTTCCACTTCCACATACTTCTCGCATTCACTTTCTCTTTCCAAGGTAATGTTTGCCTTACTGGCCTGGATAGTCATATCTAAATATTCCTCCCACAAGCACTGCCTCTAGGAGCATACCTGGAAGCTGACACAACCAGTCAGTTTATTCTGCCAAGTGCCTCCCAACAGCCAACCAAACCGAGAGGAGGAGCAGGCAGAAAACAGACTGCCATGCAGAGCAGCTAACAGTAAAATCTGTCTGCCCAAATCTCACACATCCTAAGTGTTAATGACCTCTCCTGACTCAGTCAGCAAGCACTGAAATGATACTCCCACCATGTTTGGCGTGGTATCTTTGGAGGGATAAACCAGATTTACAAAGCAGTAACTGCTAGGACCTCCTATGGGGCAACCATGCTGCACTGACCTGTGTTCAGAGGGGGGATGAATCTGCTGCATTGCCCTTTCCTGCTCTGCATCACAGAGCAATTTCACTTGTTTCCACGTAATCCATCAAGGAAAAACTTAAGCCCATCAGAGTTAAGGCTTATCTGTATAATGAATACACGTGTATGCATGCTGTCTGCTGTATGCAGATACAATCCACGTCCAGCTGTGGGGCAGCCGCATGACAACAGGCGGTACTGGCACACAGATACAGATCTGCGGTGCTTGGAAACCCCTGCTCTATCTCGCCCTACAGAGTCTGCGAGAGTCCCAACGTGAGCAAGGTGAGGTTTCTATTTGTGAATGCGGGCACTTGAAAGACATGACAGAAGTCTGTTGATAAACTGAAAATCTAAAGCGCAGACACTGAATGAAAATCTGGAAACAACCAACAACTACAAACAAGTGCCTGCAAAATAAAAACCCTTCAGTTTAATATGAATAAATATCCTCCAGCTTAAAAATATGCTCTCACTTCAACAGATGGCAAGCAGCCCTGTCTCTATAGGCTCCTCCTGTTTCGTAATCCACACCTTGGAGAAAGCAATCCATCCCGGCCTCTGAAGCTTGCTGTCGCACCAGAACCAATAAATGTACGGAAAGTGCGAGGTGTGTCACAAGACAGCATCTGTGCGTGCAGCTTTGCAGTTACAGTGCTGCTTTTTAGAGATGTTAAATGCCTGTATCCCTGAAGTCTAGTCTTCTCCTGCTTTGGAAAACTAGGGCTTTTATTTGAAGTGCCTAAAACTGATTTTAGGAGCCCAGGGTTTTAGGCTTCCACATCCAAAAATTTTCTCGGAACCTAGTAAGGAGTACTATATTTGACATATTTACTACAAGTCAGCCGTCACTCAGAGAGGAGCATGGAAACACGTATAATCACAAATTGAACTCTGAACAAAATCAGTGCCTCTTATTTGACTTTCACAGTAAGTACAAAGCTGACTATTTGCTTTTGTCTTTGGTCTCTTTCACACTTGGCTAGAGTCTGCAGTCTGTAGCAAACTTGGTTTAGGAGCTGGATTCATTAATTACACATGCTTAACCAGAGTTAATTTTAAGTAAACATATTATAAACAGTCAATCGAAATGTGTTCATTCATGCTTATGGAGGCAGGGATATGCACCACTTCATTAATACAGACAAGTGCCTCTGCTTTCAAGATTGTATGGGTCGCAATCCAACGCATTTTAAATTAATTACGAAGTCCCCTTCCACCAGGACTTTCACAAAAATCACAGCAGCACACGGTGAGTGTCCAGCACTCCCAAGGGCGAGCAGGATAAGCTGACGACTCTCCCCCACGCCACGTGTGCCCAGGAATTCTCCAGGGGAAGGGGTGACCCGGGGGAATGGAAAATGGGCTGCAGAGCCTTTCACTTCTAGGTCACGGGTTCAAATCAGAACCAGGTTGGTAGTGACTGAAAAACCATCCTCGTCTGCTGCAGACCCAGATGAATTATTCCCTGCAAAGCAGGCTCATGTAACTCCTTTCTACTTATAACTAGGCTGGATTTCATTACTGATGAGCACTGGTACCAGCCCCGCTCTTGAGCAGCAGCTGTACCTCAGCGCCAGCGCATGGTGTCCTGCAGCCCTTCCACACTCAGCTCCCATGGGGTTCATCCACAGCCTCCTCTGCCCTGCAAGCCCAAAGCCCTCGATGTCTGCTGCAGAGCAGAGTGCTGCGACCAGACGTGGCTCCAGCTGCCACTGCCACGAGTCCCGGGGGATCCAAATATGCTGTCTGGGAACTGCTGGCTTCAATGTTGCAGCAAAGCCATTTCTGCCTTGCAGAAATAAGGATGGTATTTTCCCTGGATGTTCCACTTGTGCCTTCTCTCAGCAAGCACAAATATACCCCACCGTTCTCAGCGCTACCTGCCAGGACACGGGCCTTCGTTTGTTCACAGAGGGAGGTGCAAAGCCGGTGTGGATGAACCCAGCACCAGGAGCACACACCCTTCCGCTTGGTATCCATCTGTGAACATCCCTCAGCACAGCAGCTCTGCTCCCGCTAGGCCTAGTCCACCCTTGCAAATGAAAGAATAAACTATTCCTTCCTGCCCCAAAGCTGTGCTGCTCTAGCAGGCAAGCTGGTGACAGTAGGGCAGCAGTAATAAAAAGCCTGAAAAGCACAGGAAAACCAAAGGCTGTTTCACTGCAGTCCAGAGCTGCCCCAAACATGCACGTGTAATCCCAGAGAGCAGCAGTGCTGAGAGGGTCCCTCTGTCTGGGACATGACCCTCCGCTGCCCAACCACACAGGCACCGGCGGAGCGGCTGCTCCCAAGGCATGGGACCGAAGAACAGATACCAACTTACGTGTATCGATGGTCTCCTGGATGGGGATGAAGCCCACGGGTAAAGTGTCCTTGATATCAATAAGCTTCATATCAACCAAGACGTTGCCTAAGTGACTCTTTGGAGAGAGAAAAGAAAGAGTTGATTATGACAATGTCACCGAATCCAAACCCAGCTCTTCTCGCCT